TATATGTATATGTATATGTATATGTATATGTATATGTATATGTATATATGTATGTATGTATATAGTATAAAGTATATATATTCAGTGAGAACATGGAGTGGACTGTTATACACACACACACACACACACACACACACAGAGTATATATACTATATATTTATATACACATACACATATATACAAACATATATACATATATAGTTTGTATGCATATATTAAGTACATATATATTCAAGTGAGAACATATGCAGATGACTGTTTTTATATATAATTATAATTATATATAATTCAAACACACAGTACACCTTGTCCCAATGTCCCAACATAAAATAGCACAGTCAACAAAAGTAAAGCCAATTGTTTGTTTAATTTACTTGCTGACACTTACTGGGAAGACTTGATTATGCTTTTTGTTTTTGTTTTTGAGGCTCTTGCTTTTTATTATTTCCCCAGAATATACAATAGCTGTGGAATTAACTGAACAGGCCTCAGTTTATATGGACATTACAGGATCAGTGGCTTGAATGATCAAACAGCATTAATAATACATCGGACAAATATTTGGTGCCGTATTTGTTCAACCCAAAGAAATAAATAAACAAAAGAATAAAAAATGCTCTGTCTCCCTCAGGGAAGAATCTTTTTTGTATTTTTCCTCAGCTAAAGTTCTCAATGGTGAGATGGCTTAGTTGAGGCTGGTGACCCTCTATCAACAAAGAAATTTGTGTTGAGGGTGTCTTCACACAACACAGCAATATATACACTTTCACACAAGCTCAAACCGCTGTATAGAGTTAGTCCTTGATTTACGACCTGGAATTTTGATTACAAGGTAGTCCTTGACTTACAATTCATTTCGTGTCTGTTTGCAGTTATGACGGGATTGGTCACGTGATCAAAATTCATGCCACTTTCTGACAAGCAAAATCAAATGGGGAAGCCAGATTCGCTAAACAACCTTATTTACTAACTTAACAATGGCAGGGATTCCCTTAAAAACGCTGGAAAGAAAAGTCGGGAAATGGGCTCAAACTCTTAATCACTACATCACTTAGCAACAGAGATTCCGGGCTCAATTTGAATGTCAGTCAAGGACAACTTGTACTGCAAGAGCCGTGGTGGTGCATTGGTTAGTATGCAGTACTGCAGGCTACTTCTGCTGGCTGCCGGCTGCCAGCAGTTTGGCAGTTCGATCCTGACTGGCTCGCGGTTGACTCATCCTTTCGAGGTTGGTAAAATGAAGACCCAGAGGGCAATGGGTTGACTCTGTAAATTGCTTAGAGGGAGCTCTAAAAGCACCGTGAAGTGGTATATAAGTCTAAGTGCTATGGCTATTGCTTGCTATTGCAGGCTAACTCTGCTCATTGCCAGTTCGATCTGGCTCAAGGGTGACTCAGCCTTCCATCCTTCCGAAGTCAGTAAAATGAAGACCCAGATTGTTGGGGCGGGGGGGAGGCAAGAAGCTGATCTGTAAACTGCTTAGAGAGAGTGGTAAATAGCAATAGCACTTAGATTTATATATTGCTTTATAGCCCTCTCTAAGCAGTTTACAGAGTCAGCCTATTTTCCCCAACAATTTGGGTCCTCATTTTACCCACCTCGGAAGGATGGAAGGCTGAGTCAACCTGTAGCCTAGTGAGATTTGAACTGCCAAATTGTAGGCAGCTGGCTACAGAAGTAGCTTGCAGTATTGCACTCTAACCCCTGTGCCACAGAGGCTCCCTAAAGCACTGTGACGTGGTATATAAGTCTAAGTGCTATTGCTAAGTGATACGCCCATTGTGCAAGTTCTCACATGACCCCACAAAAGCACCCCACAAATCCCAGTGTCCAACCTGGACATTGGTTAAAAGCTCAAAGGGGACAGAAGAAGCCACAGAGCGTTCCAAGTGTTGGGACTCCACAACTTCACTGCCCCTCCTCAGATATTTAGTATGTGTAGGCAGCTGAGCTTCTGTAAGATAAGAGAGGAGTGAGCAAACTCTTAAAACCCATAGAAGCTGAGAGGAGCCCCTTAAGCTCTAAAGGTAAAGGTTTCCCTGGTCCAGTCATGTCCGACTTTACGGAGTGATGCTCATCTTTGTTTCTTAGCCAAGGGAGCCAGCGTTGTCCAATGACACTTCTGCGGTCCTGTGGCCAACACGGCTATAGGCCAAGGTGCACAGAACACTGTTAACCTTCCCACTGAAGTGACACCTCTTTATCTATTCGCATTTGCGTGCTTTCAAGCTGCTGAGTGGGCAGAGCTGGAGCAAGAATGGAAGCTCATCCTGTCAAACAGCGCTCGGGTCTCGAACCCAGACTGTGAGCTTTCTGGTTGACAAGCCCAGAGTTATTGTCACAATTGCAATCATCCTGGCAATAAATGCATTGCTCAGCAGATGGCGCTGTCAGATCGCTTTTAACGGAAGCTGCGGGTTTCGGTGGATGCATTTTTGAGATCTCCTGGTGCTAACGAATACCCCTTGTACACCTTCCTCAGGGTTTCGTGTGATTTAAAAACATCAAGGGTTCATCTGCATGTCTCAGCTTATTAGGCCAGCATGCTTGCATTTCACTACATTTATTTTGCATGATTTCTGGCTTCCGGTATCTCTTGATTTCTGTTGTCTCTGTTTGTTTGCAGTCATTGCCAATTCTGAACAGGCCCCGCTCCTCATTCTCCAGCTGGCGTTTGAGTTTGGTTCTTTCTCTTCGCTGGGCTAGCTTGTTGGGTTAAAGAAATATGATAACAATGTAAACAGAATATAAAGCAGACCAGGCTGGGTGGGATTAGAATCAGAACTGACTCAACACTTATTTTCATTTAATCATCTTTCTCACGGGCTGCCACTGTTTAGTGTTTATTTAGAGACACCTCAGGGTCAGAGACGTGGCTAAT